ACCAATGGCATTAAGAATGCCATAACTCTACCAGAAATACCTTGATTGATAGATTACATGTACCTTTTCTGTAGACACTTCAACTTGGTGGCTCCAGATCTTTCCCCTCCTTCATCTTTTCCAAGAGGAGCTCCCAGTTTTTAGCAGAAATTCTTATAAGTCTCCAAGTGCATGACTATACACTTTATACCATTGAATCTTGCCCTATGTCCATTACTCAAGTCCTCAAAGTCATACAGTTCTTCCTGTGCAATATCCTGATCCTCCTCTATATGGATCATGCCTTCCAACCTTGCGTCACAAAGACATTCCTACTTTTTGTGCCAAGGTCATTAATAAAAATATTAAAGATCACTGTGAAGATCAGTCTTTGGAGAACTCCATCAGTAACTTTGCTCCAGCCTGATCATTTTCACCCCTATTCATCGTAGTATTTCTTTTAGTCAGTGCTTTATAGGCCTTGCAATTACTGCTATCTTCTCCTGCTTAACTAGTAATTTCTTATATGGTGTCATATCCAGACAAATCAGAACCACTGCATTTCCTTTGTCTTGAAAATATGTTACCTTACCATATAAAAGCATCAGGTTAGCCTGGCATGATCTACCACTGGCAAAACCCATGCTGCATTTCATCCCATTTCTATTTACCTTGTGTCTAATTCTTGTCTTTCTATCCATGGTCAACATTGAAAACCGAGGTATAGTATTCATTTAGTTTTGGGTCATATGTGAATTATCTTTAATCTCTTCTCCATTCACACTGTACAGAAGCTCACCTTGTTCTCTTCTTTCTTACATAGCCAAAGAACCTTTTGCTATTTGTTTTAATATTCTTTACAAGGTCTAACTCAGCGTGAGTTTTGGCAATTTGTACTTCACCCCTGTGTCCTGACTCCTAAGCTGTACCTTTTATTTGGTGATCAATTCTCTTGTTCCATTCTATGTAGAATCTCTGCTTACCCTCTACTATAAATCATAGCATCTGACAGAGGCTGTAGCTTACAAAAGCACGACTCTCTGAATGACTTAGTCTATAAGGTGCCACCCTGCCATGCCTTCTGCCTATCTTCAGACTAACATGGCTAATTACCTCCCTCTGTTCGTAAGTTCCAGATAGGGTATGTATCTTTGACTTCAAAAAATTTCAAGACTTTTGCACACTCAAGTCCTTGAGCTCTCTGGTCTAAGACCCTTCATTAATGTTTGAAATCAAGAACTTGAGTTATGGACCTATTTTTGTTTGTCCTTTTACTGGTTTAAACTCATCAGCTTGTGAGCGTTCAGTCTGAGGTTATTGTCTATGATCAACTCTTCAATTACAGCCTCATAACTTACCAAACCAAGTCTAAACGAGCATAACCTTTTCTTGGTTTGGTGATGATTTATTGAAGAAATCTAGTGGCTAACACATTATTTGTTCTCCAATCTATATCTGGAAAGCATTATGGCAAAATTAATGGGAGCATTAACAGTGGAATGACATGATGATACAATTTCTGCGGCTAACAGTGGAAATTGTATCTTTTGGTGCCTCCAGAAGGTACCTCATGAAAGAAAACAGACCCATGTAGAAGCATAGAAAACAGAGGTTCTTTTTCTATACAAAAATCACCTAGAGACAGAAAAACTGAAGGGAAAACAGGCAACGCAAGGGAACCTTATAATTACTTTTCTGTAGCTAAGAATACAGCAATATTGTTTCACAAGAGACTTGAGAAAATGCAGACAAAAATGAGGAAGGTAAATTTTTGCTGGTACAAGATATAACTTACTCATTTAAATGGACAAAATAAAGATAATGCTAACTTTTGCACACCACACGTTTATCTATATTAATCAATCACTGTTTGAAAGAAAACAGAAATCCCAGTGGATTTTAGTCCTTTGCCTTAAGCACATGGCCACAACCTTGTAGCCGGTAATGTCCTACTATGTTTGGATGCCATGGCAAGAGACTTCTGGGAAGTATCAAATCACTTTAAACAAATCAGACCAACCCAAACATACATAATTATGGGTCAGAATCATCATGAATGATTATATAGAGCTGGGGTTAAAAGGTGTATCATAGTCATAACACCCACCAAGATGGATTTCACTTCTTGCACCTATTCACAAACAGATTTTTTTTTGATTTCCACATATCTAATTAAATCAAATCAATACTGACTTCTGAACAAGCACCAGGGATTCTGTGGGTTTCTCCTCCTGTGACAAACTGGACTAATGTGCAGAGCCTAAACTCTGCTTTGAAATGAGAAACAATTTCAGAACAATGGAAATTCATCCTGTCCTTGATACCACTTATAAACTGGTATACACTATGGGATATCTTAAAAGTCTTTATTAAGAGGAGAATTGTTTTCAACTCACCGGATAGAAAGAAGGCTTGCTAGGCTCAGCTTACGGAATTAACCGAACAGCTTAAAAGCTTTGGATTTAGAATTTGAAAACAATCTTTGCCCCCAAAACTTTAGAAAGCTAATTAACCGTCAATATGAAGTTAATAGGCTTACTTTGACCCAAGCTGAATGTTCTTTTTCAGTTCAAGAAAGTATATTGGGAGTCAGGTGAAGGAGCAGGAAAGCATGCTGCACATTGTGCTTGTGCCTCACCCCCTCAGGTGAGCAAGTAATACTTGGACCTGCTGTTGGGGTGGGAACATTTCTGGAAAGGGTGGACAGCAAGTTCAAACCTGGCCACGGCTTGTCATGATTCTGAGAACCAAGGCTGTCAACCACTGTATGACCTCATCATTAACCCTTTCACCTGTAGCTGGTTGTCCCCCACTAGGCTGATCCAGCATGGAGGCCTATGCTTTCCTCATGGGCCATATCCAACAGACCCAGGGTTTTGCTTGGGAAATTGTTTGGAAGGGCCATGCAACCTCTCTGATTACAGATTCCCAAGAAGGGGAAGATGTCTTAGGGATGGAGGCAATGTGCAAGGAGTTTATGGGACTGCAGACCAGGTTGGATCTATGAATCCTGTTTCTTGCCTTCATAAGCCTCTTAGCTACTGGGTTTGAAAGCATTTTATAACAGCATTGATTAAAGAGGTAGGTTGATGACCATTACATTTTGGAGCAACCTTGTCAGCAATACAATCTTCCCTCACAGCCAGAAGTCAGGTGCCTTTGAAGTGGGCCTTTCATTGATGTTTGACAGCCAAGAGACCAGTTCTTCCTTGAACTTTTGGCAGAATTCTACAGCTAGGTCATCAAGGTGGAAGCCTATGCCTGGTTCATCTCCCCCATGGCTTTGACTATTTCCTCTGACTACAAGCCTAAAGCTGGCTGGACCCGTTGCTGTATTGGTATTTGTGGAATCATAAGACTTATAACAAAAGTTACTCATTTCTTCTAGGCTGGGTGGAAAATTTATTCTTGTAACAAGCCTGGTGGAATTTCAGAAATTGGTCACTGTTCTTGCCTGGGTTAGTAATCACCTGCCCTTGTTCTGATGTAAACACTATTATGCGGTGTCTGTGGCTTCTCACCTTTTCTCTGCATGCAAGAAGTGTCCTTGTTCCATGTGCATGATACAATGGCTGCCTGCCTTCCTGTGTCTTAAGCAGCTGAAACTGATCCTCCCTCATTGCTGCGGAATGGAAACCCAGATCCGTTAAGAAACTTCCTCAAGGGCAGACAGGGAAACTGTAGCCAAGCAAGAGACTGAACCAAATCCTCTGAGTACTACCCCAGATGGATTCCTCCCGTTCCACCCCTCTACACCCTCTCTAGCAGCTGTCTTTATCCCCTGGGCAGAACTGAATAGTCATACCTCCCCATGGGTGGTGATCACAGTGTGGAGGACACAGGTGTTTCTAAATGAGTGATTCTCAACCTTTTTGGACTTGAGGCAACCCTTCACAATTTTGTGAATGTAGTGGCACCCAACTCAAAACTAATGTATATATTATAGTGCTAACCTCCCTACAGAGGGGGTGGGCAATAGATGTGTGGGACTGTCCAGGCAGAGACAAGCTTGAGCCTGCACTTATCTATCTCCTCATACCTTGCTTATCTCCTCACACCTTGAGACACCCTTCAAAGAATCTGGTGGAACCCCAGAGTGCTCCAGCACCCTGGTAAAATGTCACTGTTCTACACTCTTCTCATTGTGGGGTCCCAAAGATTCAGAACTGGAGGAAACAGCCCTGTAGCTGTGCTTTACCTGTTCCTATAACACTTCCTGCACACACACGTTGTTCTGAGGCACTAAGTAAAGCTCATCTGCCTTGCAACTTCAGCAAACTCCAGAAGTGAAGTTTAAGAGACTGTCAGCTGGACAGGGATCAAAACTGCAGATATAATCCTACTGGGTGTAGGACCTAAGACAGTGACACAAAACCGCAGGAGTTAGGTATGAACAGCTGAGCCACACCTACACTAGAGTCTCTTCTACTGACACCTCTTAGGAGCTCCCTGGGGAAGGGATTCCAGGATGGACCCTTCCCTCATGACGGCAAAGCTCTTGAGTTAAGATGGTGTGTATGCAGAGCTGTCAGTGGCTGCCCCTATCCACATTCAGCCTGCCCCACTGCATGCTCAGATTCTGCCTGGGTAGAACGGGAGAAAAACAAGACACTGAAAGGAAACTTGGGGCCCTGCAGGAATAGACAGGAGCAGGGCAGTACCAGTCAGTGCCAGGATGCCTCAGTAGGCTGGCATCACGCACTTAGGAGCCCCAATCCCTGCAGCCCACCTCCCTGCAGCTCAGCTCAGAGACAGAGCACAGGGGGACCCAATACAATTGAACTAGCTACCCAGCAAGGCCTGCCCACCCTGCTGACTCAGCAAGTGGCCCCAATGGCTTGGCAGGGGGAAGGAAGGAGCAGGACACAATGGGGAACAAGGAATGGGTCACCCTACAGCCAGCTTGCCAGAGGGTCCTGTCAGGATCTGTCCTCCGCTCCCTGATTACATGAAAGATAAAGCAAGCGACGTATGGGAGAGACAAAGTTGGGAGACCCCAGGGACGCACCTGAGACCACAGCTGCCCCTTCCATTATCAGAAAGATTTTATTGTCTCATCAAGTGGCACCGACATAATTCATTGCTCTGTGTGTGAAATATGTAATAGGGCAGCAGAGAGGAAGAGAGTGCAAGCTCCAACCCCAGGTTCCACCCTGCCCCAACTCAGTGGGAAAGCAGGCCAGAGGGGACAGGGCTGGGCCCCTTCACTGATTACAAAAACCAGATGCTTTATAACAAGAGGCCGGTGGTAGGAAAGGGCAGCAAGAGGAAGCGGCCGGCTTGCGGGAGGCAACAAAGGGACCCAGCAGCTCTCAAGTGTGATACAAAGTGCATAGGTGTGCCTGCCCTGTCCCAGCCCTCACTGTGCATCAAAACAGCACATGGATGGCGGGGGGAGGGGGGCTGCAAAGGTTGTGCTGTCCCATTCCCCGTGCCCACATGAGCCTCTTTGGTGCGCGAGCTGTCCAAGCCCCAGCAGCAGACAAAAGACGCCTGGAAGACAGAGAAAGGGCAGACATTAGCAAGGGCAGACTGGTGCCATATAGCACCCCATCCATAAATGGAGAGCCTGGCAGGCTGTCCTGTGTGGGGGATAGGCTCCAGGTGGTGGGGGGAGGTTGCCCAGAGCCAGTGCACTCATGGGTGGAAAGTCTGGAGAGAAGGAAGTGTTTGACATGTTAGAACTCCTGCTCCCCCACCCCAGGGCTGCTCCCCAACCAGATCCACCCCCTCCTCAAGGAGCAGCAGTTCACGAAGGCAGGAGACAGAAGCCCCACTGCTCCCTGATCATCACCACTGAGCCACCTGAACTCAGCCCCCTGCTGTACAAAAACAGGCCTCGGCCAATGGAACTGAGAAGAGCTGCCCTCAGCAGGGCAGATCTTATGACACGCAGAGAGCCCCCAGCCAGATCTGCCCCCATTCAGGGAGCCATTCTCCCTTCAGGAGACTTCCCTTGATATTCAGTCTGAATTCCCCGCTCCTGGCAGCACCCATTACAAGAGGTCTCAACCATGCCAGACAGGAAGGACTAAGTGCCATGACACACAGCCCCCACCAGGTGGTGCCATCATCCCACAAAAGCCTGACTGGAGACACTGCAAGGAAGCAAATGGCCAGCCTGACCCTGCCAGTCACAAGAGGCCAAATGCTGGGATTCAGGAAGCAAAGGGTGAGGATCCTACAGACTCAGCAGGCTGCTCTTCCTAGTGACAGAGGGGAGAAATGCTTGTGAAGCTGATGAGGTAGGTCCTGTGTCCCCACCCCTACATACCACATCCCACGCCTAAGGTCAGGGACATCAATGTGGCCCAGCACACACAGGTGTGGCTCAGATGTAGGATTTTCCCTGGTCAAGGCTATAGAGGCTTTGTTTCCCATGACCACAAATGTGCTGAGGCAGGGTGCACACATGCACTGCTCACACCCCACACCTTGGTGTCACACAGGCTCAGAGTCCTGGCAGTGCCACTCCAGTTTGTAGGGGGATCATAGGACTCACAAGAACCAGGCCCAGGTCAGCTCAGCCCCTGCCATGAAAACTCACTTGCATGATCTGTTTCAGGATTTTTTCTTTTTCAGCTTTAGTGCTTGCAGCCAGTGGGGCGAGGAGGTTTCAGACCTGCAGGCAAGGAGAAAAGTTACAGCCTGTAGGACAGCCAAACCAGGAAAAGCCAAATCCCTTTTAAAATGCACAGACCTCACCACCGCCAAATCTACACACACGCCAATACCATGTGCACACCCCACTAACTCCTCCCAAACCTACATACATTCCCCTACACCAGAGGTGGGTAAAATACAGCCCATGAGACGAATCTGGCCCACCAAATGATTGTCCAGCCCACAGCTGCTCCGCTGAAGGAGACTCATGTCTGACCCACAGCTGCCCTGGCTTTTGGTGCCCCTTGCCCTTCTCCCTTTCCCAAGAGGTAGCCAGCTGCAGCAGCAGCAGCTGCTCCCCTCCCCAGCCCAGCCCAGCCTGCCCTTTTCCACACCCCCCCCCCATATACTCCAAGGCAGGGGGAACTAAGCTCCTAGCCAAGCTTCTGCCTGGCAAAGCTGTCTTAATGCAGTTCCAACCCTGCAGCCATTCACAGGCCAGACAGCCTGCCCTGCAGTGAGTGTCAAAGCTCAGGTAAAGTTCTTTCTGCTGACAGTGGAGGGACTGCAGGGGGAAGAGGGCCAGAAGCCATGGGTTACTCAGGCCCTGCCATGCTGGGCTGGTGCCTACTAGGGGCACAGATGCCACTAATGCAGTGCCACACTGTGTTCCCGCAGGCTGCTTTGGACCATGCCACCTGGGTGCTGCTGAAGTGGCTCCTGCTCAACCCCGAGTCTCCAGCATGCAGCCAAGTTAGGCAGGAGCCATGCCAGCTGCTCCAGCTGCACCTACGCAGCCCATAGTAGCACACAGGAACACAATGTGGAACTGGCTGGCCTGGCTGCATGCTGGCAACTCAGGGTGGTGCAGAAGGTGCAGTGGGAAGGGGCCTGGGAGCCGGGGGTTATCCAGATGCAGCCAGGCCAGTGCCCTGTTGTGTTTCCCACTTCTCTCTGCATCCCCAGCATGCAACTAGGTTAGGCAGAAGCTGCTCCAGCTGCACCCACGTGGCCCGGGGCAGCACATGGGAACATAGTACAGCACTAACCCAGGTTGGCTACGTGCCAGGGACACGGGGAGAGGGGGAACAAAGGTTATGTTCCCCTAACCTTTGTCCACTCACCTCTCTGCCCTTAGATCTGAGATGGGCAGTTATTTGGGCTGGAGGGACGCTTAGGGAGTTTAGGTGAGCTGTTTCTGGGAGGAGGGGGGGCAGAAAGGGGATAGAGGTGGGGGTGCTGACCCAGCCTGCAACAGCTCAGCAAAACTCCCTAAGTGGTCCTCCAGCCTGCCCACCCCTATGTGGGTGGACATACTGCTTACCCCTGTTGTACACCCTCACTGACACCTGCCAAATCACACATACCCCAACACCCCCAAGTGCACCCACATAAACAAACATGCCTTAATCTTTCTCACACATTCACACCCAAACACCTCTATTATGTATGTTCACTGATACTGCCCATGACCCAATGCCCAAAGGTTTGCTCACACCCTCTGACATATCCTGGATTCCCACCCACCCCGCCAATGCCTTCTCTAACACCCCAAGTCTACACACACCCCCACACCTCCAAGATATACACATTCAAGGCTACCTCCCAAGTCCACACACACTCTCAGTCACTGACCCCACCCAGATCTATATACACCCCCTGTGTCTTCAGCAACCCCACCATGTGACACCTCCCAAGTCTACACACCAACATCCTCACCAATACTCCAAGTTTGCATGTACCCACTGACACCCCAATACCTCCCAGCTGTGATTAAGGGAGTACATTAAGAAGAGGGGCTAGGGTTTCTGGAGCTCCAGAGAGGGAAGATGAGGGGTTGGTGCTGGAGGCAGGGGAAGGAAGCAATCCAAAAGAGCAGCAGAGCCTGGCCACTGTCTGTTTAAGGGCTCAGGACCAGGAATCATGTACAGTGAAGCAAGGCTCCCTGCCAAGCAGGCCAAGCCCTGGGAAAGAGGGCTGGATACCATCTGCCTCCTCCTCCTCCTGTTGCAAGGGAAGTGCTGCTGACCTCGCCCAGCCCACCCAGGAGATGACTGAGCTGCAGAGGGGCCAGCTAAGAAGAGCTGGGGTAAGGCTGCAGCTGGCCTGAGGCAATGAAGCCCAGAGGAGAAGGAGGGATTAGGACTCCAAAGCATTGCTGGTGGGGACAGATTTGTCCAGCAAAAAAAACCCAAAAAACACTTCACTCAAAACACCTTAGGGTCTTCAATGAGTCCAGAGGAAGAGGTGGGCCACTTGAGAGCCCACCCCTGCTGCCCCCTCCACAGCTGCTCCATGAAATTAAGGCTTTTGGCCAGTTTCCTGCTGCAGCGAACAGCAAAACTGATGAGAGCATCCATTTCATGAGCAGCTGCAGGGGCCTGAGGAGCTGCCAGTTTGGCAAATTTGGGTGCAGGCCTGATTCAGGCAGAAACCAGATTTCAAGGGAATGAACTTGCCAGCACACCAAACACCTAGTGTTTGGCCACCTTGACTTCTGAGTCAGGAAACAGGCCCACTTGTCCAGCACCCATGATCTCAAGGAGAGGGAAACAGCCTGAAGTACCACGCAGAAAGGCAGGGGGCTCTGGCTGGAGGGGGCCAGAGTTGTGTTGGGGAAACAGACCCAGTAAATGTGGCCCTCTCCAGGAGATTTCACTGACAGTGTTCCAGCCTGGGTTCAAGGCCTTGCAAAGACTGAGGAGTGGAGAGAGGGCAGGGATCTGCAGGACCACTCTGAGCCACAAGGAGGTGCCCCTGAAATTACAGCTGCTCACACTGACAGACATGTATACATCCTGACAACTCTAAGATGAACATGATGAAATCAGTGTAACGAAATCATCAACAAAGCTAACTCCACTTTATCATGCATTAGCAGATGCATGACGAATAGATCCACTGGTCAGACTGCAGTTGGAGTACTGCGTCCAGTTTTGGGCGCCATACTTTAAGAAGGATGTGGATAACCTCGAGAGGGTCCAGAGGAGGGCCACTCATATGGTTAAGGGTTTGCAGGCTAAGCCCTATAAGAGAAACTAAGGGAACTGAATCTCTTCAGCCTCCCCAAGAGAAGGCTGAGAGGTGATCTTGTGGCCGCCTACAAATTCATTGGAGAAGCGGGGTGGGGTAGGGGCAGCAAGGAATCAGGGATACCCTGTTCACCAGAGCACCTCTTGGGGTAACAAGGAACAATGGTCACAAACTGATGGAGAGCAGATTTAGGCTAGATATCAGGAAGAACTTTATGGTAAGGGTGGTCAGAATCTGGAATGGGCTTCCAAGGAAGGTGGTGCTCTCCCCTACCTTGGGGGTCTTTAAGAGAAGGCTGGACAGGCATCTGGCTGGGATCATCTGACCCCAACACTCTTTCCTGCCCAGGCAGGGGGTTGGACTCAATGATCTGTTGAATCCCTTCCGACCCTAGTATCTATGAATCTACGACTCCTCAACACCCCCAGCCAGGCACATACCCAGCAACACCCTTAGGCCTACAAATACTCACCAGCACCTGCAGGTGTGAACATACACCAACACCCCAGGTCTACACAGACACTTGCCATCATCCCAGATATACAAACATCCACCCAACAGGAACCTCCCCCCATACCCAGGTCCTTCATGGAAGCCCCCAAACATATGCATGTCTCCCAACCCATCCCCACCATAAAACCCCTTCCCCCACGTACAGCTCAACCCCCTTCAGCGTAATCTCCCACCCACATACCCCACACACAAATGCACACTCAAACTTCTGGACATCTCACAGGAACTTCCCTCCCCACTTCTCCGTTAGAGCAGGGTTTCTCAACCGGTGGGACGTGTCCCACTGGCAGGACGCAAAGGCCCTCTACGTTGGACTCAGGTCACAGTGGTGAAATTGGGAGTCTTACAGCTGGACTTCCAGTTTCACTTTTGTGTGCTTCAATCAGCTGTTGGGGGACCCCCACCACCACCTTCGACTGGCCTCTGGGAGACACCCCACCCTGCTCATCAACTGGTGGGACCAGGATTTTTTGACCTTACATAGGTGGGATGCAAGGTGCAAAAGGTTAAGAACTGCTGCCTTACAGGACCTCCCCAACACACACCGCAACCTTTCTCCCCTCACAAACCCCCCCATCACCCCCACCCACACACCCCAACCTGGCCCTTCACAACTGCCCCCTCCCCACACACTCCCATGCTCACCCTGAGGATTTCTCTGGCTTGGGGGGTAGTGCAGGGGGCTTCCCAGCCAGGCCAGGGACCTTGCAGGACTTGGAGCGCTGCATGTGGAGCTCCTTGGATGAAGCAGGCTTGCCCTCCCCTGGCTGGGCCCCCTCCTCGGCAGAGCGGTTCCGGCCCCTCAGTTTGGCCTGTGCAGGCAGGAGAGGAAGAGACAAAGAATGAAGTCAGACAGATACACGGACTTCCTGGCTTTCTGTACAACTCCTCTCCTCACCCCTCCGTCAACTGCACATCACCCTCAGACCTACCAGTTACCCGGGACAAACTCCACCCCCAGCCTTTTCTGAGTCCTCCCACCTGCCTGCAAGACTTCCCCAGCAACCTCCTCCATATCAGCCCCTTCACACCAGTTTTCCCCTGCCCCATTCCAGCCTCACTTACATGTAGGCCTCCCTTTCTGCACCCCCACCCCACAACACCTCTGTGCCAGCCCCTTGACACCTCCTTTCTCATACCGCGGCCTCCCCAGCATACGCGCACCAGCCCAGGCACTCCCAGCTTTCCCAACCATGATCCAGTCCAGCAACCTCCTCATCCCAGGACCCACTGTGCCAGTCCCCTCCCCATGACCTCCCCTCCCACACCTAAAACTCTTGCCAACACCCCCTTTTTCTTCAAGATCATCTACATTAAATATGCTCCCACGCCTCCCCTCCCAGCACTCCACATTCAACTCATCTGACATCTCCTTACAGGCCCCTATCACCCACGCAGAGACAGGCTTGCCCTGTACCACATAGTCAGAGGGCTCCCATGCCCCGCTCAGGACCAGGGACCCCAGCTCGTGCTACCTTGATGGCAGATGGATTCAGGCCTGGGAACAGAGACACCTTCGCTCCCTTAGAGGCTGGTGATGGCCGTGCACGCCTGCTCTTTGGCTCCTCTGCTGCCTCCTCATCTGAGGAGGCCATACACGCTGTTCTAGGCTCTGAAGGGAAAGCAGAGAGGACAGCATCAGGCTACATGAGTATATGCCACCCCAACAGCAACAAGCCAGTGACAGATTAGGACTACCAAGAAGGAACACATACTAATGCCACATCCTCACCAACACCACATTGGAACAAACACCAATGCTACATTAACACCAACATCACATAACACAGGCCAACATCATGCAATCACTACCCCACACACATCATGCCATACTGTCAAGCAGATACACTTGCCAATGCCACATCAATACCAGCACACTGGAATGGGTCAATGCCAAACCAATGTTGCTGCCATGTTGAAACAAAGGCCACTGCTGCACTCATGCTTCCATTGTGCAAGAAAGCATACCAAGGTAACACCACCAGCATAGCAGAAAATATGCCCAGTGCACACCAGACACCCTGCCCTACTACCACATCAGGCACACAATGTCAATGCCACCTCAAGACACACACTCCTCACAGGGCTACCTGCACTGGCACCATACCACACACTCCCTCTACACACAGATATGCCAATCAGACAACACCATGATGCCACACGATCACATATCAACATCATGCCATAGAGGAACACATACCACTGCTACCCCAACATCCTCTCCCACAAAAGGATGCACCCTGCTTCCCTGCCAACACTGCATCAGTACCATGTCCCACCAGCAGACAGGAAGCTGTATCAGTATCACACCACAGCCACGCCAGGCCCAAGATGCAACCTATCCCCGCTGTTAAGCCCACCTGTGGAGTCCTGGAACATCCAGCTGTCCCCCTCCATCTCTGACAGCCCCAGCGTAGCCCCAGGGCGGATGGCGGGTGCCCGGTGCCCTCGCTTGCGACCCAGGTTGGCTTTGTTTCGGGACACAGTGCTGTCGAGAACTTCTGCATCCTGTACACACCCCACAAAGGGCAGACATGAATCAGTGAGAGCCATAAGGGGAGGGGAGCCAGGTGTCCAAGGAGAGTGGTCGCTCCCTAAGGAGACAATCCTCCAAGCCCAAAGGAAGGTAATCCCAACACGGATCAAAGGGAGCAGGAGGGCACACAAGCCCCCATGGCTCACCAAAAGCACCCGAGAATGTCTCCTAGCTAAAAGGGAGGCGTACACCCAATGGAAAGGAGGGATCATCACCAGGGATGACTATACTGCAGTTGCTCAGGGATGTAGGGGGGCAGTCAGGAAGGCCAAGGCAAAGATGGAACTGGGACTAGCTTCCCGGATTAAGGACAACAAGAAGCCCTTTTTTAAATACATAGTGGGTAAAAAGAAGGTTC